GCCAGCATCGTCTCTCCGCAGGCCCGATGGGCTCATGTACCAGATGTTCAGGAACCAGTTCCTCTCCTTCTCCATGTACCAGAGTAAGTGCTGCCACGTGTGCTGGGACAGGGGCTGGGACCACGGGTGGCCTGGGCTGCCGAGCATCCCTGCCTGGCTCTGTGACACGGGGGGGAGTGGGCTGTAGCTGCTCGCTGCTCTCGCCTCACCTGGGCTTTCCCTCGGCCGCTTTCCACCACCCTGGCACAGGGACGGGCTCTGTGCCCAGCATCATCTCAGGGCCAGGGGCTGATGCTGGGGCCAGGGGCTGACACCCGGGCGCCTGCTGACCCCAACACTGACCCCAACCCCTCTCTCCTCGCAGGCTTCGTGCAGTTCCTGCAGTACTACTATCAGAGCGGGTGCTTGTACCGGCTCCGGGCGCTGGGCGAGAGGCACAACATGGATCTGACCGTGGGTAAGCCGGGCTCTTCCCTTCCTGACCGTCCCAGTCCAACTGTGGCCACCTCCCTCCCAGCACCAGACCAGTGCTCAGCTAACTGGGAGCTGTGGTTTCTGCTAAAGGCACTGGTGACTGTTATTTTTGTTTTGAGGTGAGCTTGGCTGGGGTTTATCGGTTGCAGAAATGGTAAAAGCTCCAACTAAAGCCAAACCTCTGAGAGCAGCAGCACCCCGCAGGCTGGGTGCCCCCTTCCTCCTGCTCTCCTTGGGCTCCTGGCCCCCAGGCTGGCTCCCTCGGGATGCAGAGGGGCTCCTGCCATCCCAGCTTCCCCCAGGAAGCTGCTTCAGACACGAAACATCCCCCCAGCACCCCACGTACCTGCAGGCTGCCACCTTCCCAGCCCCAGGGACACCGAGCACTCGGGCTGAGGGACAGGAGCTACCGCAGCAGCTCCTCCAGAGAGGTCTGCGTGGGGTTGGCGCTCAGAATCCCTTTCCCTGGCACTCAGAATCCCTGTCCCAGCCCTCCCCAGGCCCTGGCAGGACCTTCTCAGCCAGGCGTGGGGTGGCCACTAAACCTCTCTGCCTGCGACCTCGGGAGCTGGGCTCCATCCTGTGCCCCCGCTGCCGTGTCCTCAGGTCCCCATGCAAACCTTCCTCCTTTGCAGAGGGTTTCCAGTCCTGGATGTGGAGAGGCCTCACGTTCCTGCTTCCCTTCCTCTTCTTTGGCCAGGTGAGTGTCCACCCATCCTCGTGGGTCCTGCAGGAGGCCAGAGCCTCAGGTGGGAGCAGACGGTGCCACATTCCCCTGGATGTCACACAGGTCCCTGGAGCCACACAGTACAGATGCCAGGGCAGGGAAACACCTTGAACACACCCTGAGCCTTTTCTTTTCCTCCAAAGCACCCACCACCTTCACAACTCAGCCAGGGAGAGGGGGAGGACCTGGGGGAGTTCTGCCAAGTGCTCAAGGGATGTGTGAAGTGCAGCTGAGGGGCTCCTCCCTGAACCCTTCCAAAACCCTTCTGAGCATCATGACCTGAGCTGCTGCTGCTCAAGGTCCAGTTCTTCCTCACTCAGATCATTTAGGCCAATAGCCAAAAGCAGGAGCTTGGTCTGAGCGTTCCTCCTGGCTGCTGGGCTCCAGAACGTGTCAAGAAAGTGGCAGATATCCCCACCTGGGGTCCTGGGGCCCTGAGCTGGGACAGGGTTTCGCTGTGTGCTGGGGCTGGCTGGCCTCACACGAGGTCTGTGGCTGGAGGGACATCAGCACGGGGTTGAGCCTTTGAAAGCAGCAACTCCCCTCAATCTCCTCTCTCCTGCAGTTCTGGCAGCTCTACAATGCTGTCACCCTCTTCCGCATGCTCCAGCACCCGGAATGCAAGGAGTGGCAGGTGAGGGGGGTCCCGGGCAGCTGCCCCGGGGAGGGGGATGCCCCAGGCAGGTCCCTCCTGTAACTCGTGCCTCTGCGGCTCCCGCAGGTCCTCATGTGCGGCCTCCCCTTCTTCATCCTCTTCCTGGGGAACTTCTTCACCACCCTCCGCGTCGTCCACCAGAAGTTTCAGAACAAGAACAAAGACACAAAGGGGAATTGAAGGCAGGGCGGTGTGGGGTCAGGACTGTTTCTCCCCAGCGGCTCCATCTCCCATCCCCTCGATGCCGTCCGGACTCTGGTGTCTCACCCCGTTCCCTGGAAGCCCGGCTGTGGGACAGAGCTTGGGAACTGCTCACAAATAGACCACGTCCATGTTCACCACGGTGCTAGATCCGAGTCACTCACCCGGAGGCAGGAGCATCCTGCAACCCCTCTCCTCCGGGAGAGCCTGGGACAGCTGCTCCCTGTCCCTTTTCCCTGAGGATATTTCCTGGGATGGTTCTTCTGGGCTGAGCCCAGCTCTGCAACCACTCGCCACCCCGCTGCAGGCACGGGGCAGCCCCGGCTGCACCATC